GGAACCCAGAAAGTCCCTGTAGTATATGGATCCGCCACTAATTATATACTGTGTGTCCGCTGAAATAGAACCACTGAACATCTGTTGACTGCATTTAGTTTCTTAATTGCCTAGTAATTTACACGTGCACAGAACCACAAGTAGTGTATTCACTGTCAACTGTTGAGAATCATATTGACGGGTTGAGGACAATGAGGAATAACTTCAGTTTACGACTGTTTTTCAGGACAACAAACGTTTAACTCGTAATACCTCCGATGCAGGATCGGGTGCCTGTGTATAGAGTCGTTTTGCAGCAGGAGTTGGCATCTTATTTGGGTTTATTCTTCATTTGATCAGCCACCTGCTCCTTCCTTTCTACAGTCAATAGTGTACTACGTCATCAAAGTATGCGTACTTCACATTACAAAATTAATGCCGGAATGGAAAATATTATCCGGAAAAGAACTATAATAAACGATCCGAATACGGAGTTTAAGCCTATCTCTATTTATATATATATATGGCATGCATTTATATAATTTTCAGTGAACTGATTTCAACGGCGATCCATATGAAACAAAAACAAAAAATCATGTAAGAGACGCTATCTAAATTTTTAGAAAATATCCTACAATATTTGAACAATTTTGTTCTTTATCTATCAAAATGTTACAGATAAAAATCCCAGATATATAAGTCATAATTTCGAAACTGCTTAACAGAATATGAAGAAAATTTTATAAGAGAAAAATAGATATGATTCTCTTTCACGATGCAATTTTCTGTTTCAACAGCGTTATATAGTGACAGATCCAGAGGGGTTTTTTTTCGGCTTCAGGAACCCCCAGCCTGAGAATTTTCTTTATTCACCAGTTTCCTCAATTTTCCCACATGGAAACCCCCGCCCCTTTCGCTGCATCCTACGTATATTAGGGTTTTATAGAGATACGTGCTATAAACAGCTAAGTCATTTAAGGAAGTGTCTCCATGCGTGTATGAGTATTTGCCGCATTACGTTGCCGACCATATAGTGCTATCTCACTGAAATGCCATGCCGAAGAAACCCAGCACAGTATTTAATCCGGTCATGTTATACTGACATCGGGTTACCAGTTGTACATGTTGCAATTTCTGCAATGGCTGAACGTACGTTTAACCGGGAAAGCAACTACCATATTTCAGGACTTTGGTATGTTTCAAGATACAAGGAATTGTATTTAGTGTCGTATCATAGTTATAACCGGCATTGGAACAGAACCCATTGCCTTCCTAACTTGGACGATCGTTCGACACTAGGGCGAAAAATGAGGTATTGCCAAGCAAGGCGCCTGAAAACAAGAAAGTTGTTAGGAAGTGGAGAGAAAATATAAAGATCCAATATGCTGCAATGGGTTTATAGCAGATTTATTTAATGACGTTTTGCTTCCTCAAGAAGAGGGTACAAAGTAAGACCCAAATTCTGCAAGAGGATCCCCACATTAATTGCCTAACATGCAGTTGATAACAGCAGGTAAATTCTTTTCTCAATCCTGATCTGCAATAGATTTTCATTCTTTTGATTTTTCGTATTTAGAATGAGTCCAAAATGGAAAAAAATATTTACCATGCCTTAAAATGTTAAAACTTTCTGCCTTCGGCATATTTGTCAAGCAGGTGCTTCCTTACCACCTATTCCTAGTTATTAATTTCCAGTTACAATACAAACATATTTCTCCACCCCTAAAAGATTGGATTGATATGCACTAATTGAAAACATGTCACGTTATAAAACAGAAACAATCCGGGCACGATCTCATGGGTCATTCTTTTAATTATGACGTAACGCAGCAATGTACTGTTCCGGCGTTATCCAATAGGATGTCGTGATAACCTGATTGGGTATAGCGTATTTCTTTGTGTAATTTGAAGGTTGATTTCTGTTATTTTTGAGACTTGTGCTTTCATTGTCACTACCCCGGTACTCGCATTGAGGACGTGTCATTATTTGGATAAGAGGGTCTTTTCAATAAAGCAGAGGACACTTATCCTTCCGAAACACATGGTCTTATTCTCATTGTTCTTTGTCATGGATACCAAGATAAAACTCTCCTTTAAGCATAATTTGTCATCCTTTCCGAGTTCAAATTTGGGTAATGTTCATACTTTTCTCCCTTGATTCCATTGGAATTATTTCCCTGATGAAAGCCTTAGAATCATGTATTTCGAACAGAAGACTGGGGATGTCTAGTTGGTATCGATGTTACGGGACTAAAAATGTCCCTAAATTTGTAATGGCTTGCTATTATGTTTAGTTAACTTTGAAATTGTAAAAAGACACTTGGCAAACCCCACCTCTTTATAAAATTAGAAAAAGATACTGACCGGTTTAGATAAACATGATGAAAAACGAGCATTCGTGGAAAAACCTCCTTTTCAACCTCATAATCTAAATACTCAGCGACGTTATTCCACCATCCATATAATGAAACTTGTTTCTCTTTATCTTAAGCAACTGGTTAAGTTGGAAATAATGGCATGAACAACAACAATATTCACAAAATATGTTTTACGATTTTTTATTTTAAGGTTTTGATATTATTTTTTTATTTCAATTTATTTGGCAGTTCATGAATATTGATGACTCTGTCTTTAATAGACAATTACACAAGACATAATGATATCAAAATATAAATACCATCACAAACACATAACAATTTACATACACGTTATCATTATCACAGAGTTCTTAATTACATAAACATCACAACATACATCATTAACAAAAACACATTCAAAATAGGTTGATTCTGCATGATGTCCTTCTCGTGACAAGTGATGATGTCCTTCTCGTGACACTCGTGACAAGTGATGATGTCCTTCTCGTGACAAGTGATGATGAAAACCCAACACATGTTACACTAGCTGCAAAAAGTTCACCTGAAACTGGTTCTATCAATCTCTGAAACCAACTTAAAGGACATGTTTCTCAAAAACCGTCAAAAGAAGGCAAGATTGTTCAGTCCCAATTGCGTTTTAAAAGTTATGCAAAATGTCTATACACAAATAAATCAATATTGGAAGAAATATGCTAGCTCTTCCTCCTCCCTAGACGCCTGGTCATCTCTCTCGTCCTCTTTCTTTTTGTGTCTGGGCGGTTCTGATCGGAACACAAGCTTCCTCCCAGTCTAAAACAAAAACAAATTCCATCAACTATGTATTATGACTAGTTTTAATAACATGAGTATTTTTTACGATCAACATCCATTGCTACTTGGAATGAAAATACAAACTGTTTAATTTCTAAAATTCTTCTAATATAAATCAGTGTTCAATTCTGGTTATATATATATTGATTTTGTTTACAGAAGTAGTTTTTAAATAAAGACAATGATTGTAGCATAATGATGATAAAATAAACTGATGATACGAAAGACTTTTTGTCTGCCTTGTTAAGCCAGAAACATTACAAGAATGACATAAATGATGCTTGCATGATATATTCAATTTCGACATAATTGTATGCTACAATTCTGTTTCTTGTTATAGTTAAGACATGTCTATGTGTTTGTGCGAGAAAAAGCGTCCCAATAAAATGTACTGACGTGTGCATGTCTGATACAGTACCAGCTTGCTGTTTGTATTGTAAATAACACCCACCTGTTTCTTTGGTTCGGCCTTGGCCCTCTCGAGCGCCTTCCGGACCCGCTCTTCTTGGTGTATCCGTTGTTGTTCTATCTTCTCCTCCCTCAGCTTTAGCCGCCTCTCCTTCTCCTTGGCCTGTTGGAATGGAAATATACGAACACCACATACAAGGCAATCAACACAAGGTAAATTAAATACCCCATAAGGTATATTTAAACGTCCACAAATGTAGACAACCAATAATTGATACCAAAATGAATTAAACAATTTAAAACTTTAATCGAATAACCATGTGTTATTGAGCAATCAGCATCAGCTACAGTTGTTCTTTACTGTGTGTTTGATAATAAGTTTACCATCAGCAGCCATTGTCACTTCGTTATGTGTTTGTAAACAATTTCAACAGTTTGATGGCATTTACTCAATAGTCGAGTAAGTGACTAAGATCTTAACTTTCACTCACTGCCGTGTAATAAAAAGTATGTTTCCTATTGGAAATATTTGTAAGAAAGTTTACGATACTAGAACAGTAAATAATTGAACAACTTAAATATATTTATTTTTATGTCGTCTAAGGAACAAACGGACAATTTCTATCTCGCAGTTGCTTTACTGACATGTAGTTTACTTTTGAATTGTTGTTTTGTTTGCTGTTGTCTTGTTGGAACCAGTATTGACATCTTTATAGTGATTGAAATCTGTAGCAGTTTTTGAAGTGAAACTTGTGTTGTCGAATTACTGATGTAGTTTTACATTCAATGAGGTGGCCAAGTAGATAAGTTACTACTTTCGATAGGTCACAAACTGTGAGCCTTATTAGCATAACAACAAAGGAAGGGACATGTATAGACATTCACGCGTATGAATCTATTGCATTAAATATTATCAACTGTAAAAAAAATGCCGCAAACTTTCAAGGTTATTAGGAGAAAGATATAAATCGTTACTTACATGAATGTAAATGGACTGTGAACGAAGGGTCCCATATGATTAGAAAAGATAAATAACTATAAACTAGGACTTGGCTAGTCTGGCCCTACCTTTTCTGCTGCTTCCACCTTGTCCTGAGGCATCGTTTCAATTTGTTCAAACAATTCCTCGAGTCGATTTTCTATGTTGGTGAGCATCTGTAATGTACTATAAAACACCCAAACTCGGGCTCATTAGACGGGGTATATATGTCAAACACACGCACACATATTAGGGAAGCGTAATTCACACATGATTAAGATATTTACATTTCAAATAAATTAAAAGCATTAATTAATCCACGTTTAGAACTCGATCGAAACGTTAGCGTACTTGTTAACTGCAGTTTTATATTAAATTTGTACTAATCACACCAAAATCATAGGTTGTTAGCATACATGGTAATTACAGAGGATTTATATATTTATTCATATCAAAGGAGTCTTTTTGTATCATGCAAGAGAAAACACAACAAATTATAAAAGAATAGCAAAGGACCTGTTACAGGAACAAAAGAATTTTGCCCACAAAGCAATTTAACCATTACTGGGTTATATTTGTAGCTCCCTAAGACACGACCCATGAGATATTTTTTTTAAATTAAAAAGGTCCCCAGGGCCTGTGCTATGAACTATTTAGTGCCGCCTTCCAAAGGTGTACGACAGGGTTCACTTTTTTGTCCAAAAAAATATCAAAACAATGTTTTACGCTACCAAATAATATTCTATTATTTAAAATAGGATCTGCTGCAAATTATGAACTCAAATATGTAACAAAACATTGCATAATAAAAAAGTTATAAAATCTTAAACTCTAAAAATGTTGGTATTTTCATACACTTTTTTGCTACATCAATTGTTTTACGGAAGTAAAACACCAATTTCCGGTTCTTGTACACCAAAAATCTTTTAATATTATTTGGTGCATTAAGTTGAGATACGATAGTGAAAATTTCAGAAAATTTGAGAACCGGTAAATTTGTCATATAAATGTCAAATTGTAGCAACGTCTATTTCCAAATAAAATCCAACAACCTTATGACCTATAGTCATGTTTGATAATTTAACAATGCGTCGCACCAATTTATTATCGCAACTGATCAAATTTTCATCAATAAGGTCTGCTGCTCATGATGAGCCCAACTATAAAGCTAGATGTTGCAAAATAAAAAAGTTATGCAGTCTCACACACATAAAAGTTTAGTATGTTATGTACATTTTTAGTTGTTTCGCATCTTTACGGAAATGATAGACATATTTCCGGTTTTTGTACACCAACATACTTTGGATATTATTTGGCACATTATGCTGACTGACGATAGTAGAAATTTCGAAAAAATCGGTAGTCGGTAAATGTGTCATCTTAAGGATAATATGTTGTATGACCAATGTCAAAATAAATCTTCAATAACTACAGGTCAATGCGACTTTGGCTTGTGGTACATATCAGCTGAAGCTGGCACCTGGCTATATCACAGAACATCAGACAGATGGGGGTGATTATGAGATATGGGTGTATCCGCATGCTGATGACCTTCTGCGAGGCCAATTACATTATCGCCACAGGTCGCAGGCAAAATACAATGTCTGGATAGAGTTTGACCTACACGCATCAGAGGATCCTGTCAAGGCATATACTATTGTGTGTGTCCTGCAGGAAAGACTCATGTCGCATCAATACTGTATTATCTAGGATACTATGCACATTTAACAGATGCTAAAACGCTCCAGCCTAAAGCTCGCAAACTCAGAGACTGCATATTGTGAATGCATTCAAAAAAGAAACATTATTCAATTATAGCCTATGGCTGAGGTCGATATATCTTTTCTCAGGTTGATAAATCCAGGTATTGACCGAAGTTAAAGGCTACAATTGTTTTATTATTTTACAAAACAGTAATGTAAGCAATCTGAAAAAAACCAAAAACAACTTCGGAAGTGGGACGGTGCATTGTTTGGAGACACGTCATAATTCTATTTTTATAAACACCCAGTCCTTCAACAAAAATCACGCGCTCCAAGTCAATATCGGTTTTTATCGGTGGACACGTGATGCACTTCTGGCCAGTCACTTGTCGGGAATAATATGAAAAAATAATAAGACCTAAGATTGAACTGAGAAAGCAGAAATTCAGAAAAATGTTTTGAATGACCAATTTTGACTATTTGTTGTCAAATTAAAAAAAAAAAAAAACAGTAAATACAACAATCCATGAATTGGAAACTATAACTCTCCTGAAAAGAAGCAATTTTATGGGATAGCATAGCTTCAACATATTATACTGGTACACCAAATGTTCTGACGAATTGCCTAACTTATGCTGTATGCCCCCTTAAACCACCTAGTTTAGTTAAACAGTCATACTCTACTATAAACCATATCATCCACCTTGATAGTATATTGGAATGATTTTAGGTTAATTATGAAATAATTGCATTGATCTGTAGTTATTGAAGATTTATTTTGACATTGGTCATACAACATATTATCCTTAAGATGACACATTTACCGACTACCGATTTTTTCGAAATTTCTACTATCGTCAGTCAGCATAATGTGCCAAATAATATCCAAAGTATGTTGGTGTACAAAAACCGGAAATATGTCTATCACTTCCGTAAAGATGCGAAACAACTAAAAATGTACATAACATACTAAACTTTTATGTGTGTGAGACTGCATAACTTTTTTATTTTGCAACATCTAGCTTTATAGTTGGGCTCATCATGAGCAGCAGACCTTATTGATGAAAATTTGATCAGTTGCGATAATAAATTGGTGCGACGTATTGTTAAATTATCAAACATGACTATAGGTCATAAGGTTGTTGGATTTTATTTGGAAATAGACGTTGCTACAATTTGACATTTATATGACAAATTTACCGGTTCTCAAATTTTCTGAAATTTTCACTATCGTATCTCAACATAATGCACCAAATAATATTAAAAGATTTTTGGTGTACAAGAACCGGAAATTGGTGTTTTACTTCCGTAAAACAATTGATGTAGCAAAAAAGTGTATGAAAATACCAACATTTTTAGAGTTTAAGATTTTATAACTTTTTTATTATGCAATGTTTTGTTACATATTTGAGTTCATAATTTGCAGCAGATCCTATTTTAAATAATAGAATATTATTTGGTAGTGTAAAACATTGTTTTGATATTTTTTTGGACAAAAAAGTGAACCCTGTCGTACACCTTTGGAAGGCGGCACTAAATAGTTCATAGCACAGGCCCTGGGGACCTTTTTAATTTAAAAAAAATATCTCATGGGTCGTGTCTTAGGGAGCTACAAATATAACCCAGTAATGGTTAAATTGCTTTGTGGGCAAAATTCTTTTGTTCCTGTAACAGGTCCTTTCAGTAAGATAACATACAGCACCATTCCACACTTACCGACACCAGTTATAAATATATTGGTACCAACACTGTAACAGCTACATGCTATCTTCACAATATCTGATAGAAACATAGCAAGGTTCCACAAATACAAAACCAAGTACCTATCACGTTCTGTGACAACGCGTAACTATCACGTAATGAGACCTTCTTAATGTGGACTCAACAAAACTCATGTTTTTCTTTCTGAACATAATGACAGTGGCATGTCCAAAGGGCCCGAAGAGGGAGAGAGGAACTCGCAGTTTTGATACTTGTGAAGATAGCGTATAACTCACATGTGTTTTAATACCAAATCACCACAAATCACAGTCGTATTATCAGGAAAATATACCTAAGCATGCACCACTACAACCTACAGGGTCTGTCCTTTACCGTGACTTCCCCTGATCAATGTCAATAACATATTGACTGATAATTTGCCTGATAATACGCTGGATCCAACATGACATAACATAATAGTTCAGTGAAAATCCTGTCATGACAAGGGGATAGTTGAAGAATAATAAAAACAAAGTTTCGTCCAGTTATGTAACAGGTAAGTATTAGATACAATTAAGCAGAAGCAAGGAGGTTTATTTCATAATTTCGTCACATAACGAATTTTTGATTTTCAAAGCATTTCTTTTCTAAACACAAGTACTCGTTATGTACTAAATATAATAAATAAACCTCGGCAGGATGACAGTTGTTCTCGTTGGTATCGTTTTTCGTTGCACGACTAATTGGTTGACCATCTATTCATGCTTGTATGAAATATCAAAAAGAACAATTGTCATAAACATATGCCATGTTTTACGTGAAAACAATTAAGCGAATAAGCGGCAAAGCATCCCTAATGAACATAAGCATCAACCACATGTATTGTGTATTAAATCATTATGTAATTTATTTTTGTCCTCGCCAACATTTTGTATTCAATTCTAGTACATATTTTCACTTGTTTCAAGTTAAATATGTTTGATTTTTTTATCTTTAAAACAAAATGTATTATAAATTGGATATTTATTATATCATGTCACAATAAAAAAGTTTATAAACTGCCATCCACTTATCCTTGATTCATAAAATTACACGATTTTTGATAATACAACAAGTTTAAGAGTATAAATAAGTTTGCATAAGATCATATTATGCATATGTTTATATATATATATATCAAAATATGTACTGATATTTGATTCTATTCTGCGAAAAGAATGATTTAAGGGATAATGGTGTGAACTAAAGATAAAACATGAGGTAATTCATAAACATATATATACCTAGACGTGTCCGCAGCATCAGGATGGTATGAACAGATATGTTATATGTATCAATAGTCTACCTAGTCACGGTTCTTTTGAACTGATATCGATATGTTTGTTCATGACAATGAGTCGAGACTAGTTCACTTTGTTTTAGATAGGTGACCGAATATTTCCTCAGTTTGACGGAAGACATTACGGTATCGCGATATTTTTAGTCTAGGTTCAAAATGTCTTTATTTTTGGTTTGTATGTCGTGTTGTTAAATACATTGACCTCCGATTTTATTCATGTATGTTTACAATTTCTTACTTTTTATTTTGTTTATCTAGCATATATACGCTGTTTTCATTCAACTATTTAGGGCTAGCTTCTGTATTGTTGTGGGGAATTTGTAATGATAGTACATTGTGATTCTTAGTCATGCGTTTTGATACAGGAGTTGGTATGCAATACAATAACTCAAATTGCACACTGCAATTATAAAGCAAGTTTCATTTTCAACTGGTTAGCAGTTTATCTTACAGGCACGATGTTTAGGTTTATAAGAAAATAAAATACACATTTAATATTAATTTTTAAGCATGATGCAATAAATGTATTAGAAATGAAGAAATATTATCTTTATGTACGATGACGTATGCATATATGAAAAGATGAAACTGAACACGTTGACAAATAAGTTGAACACTTCGGTTAAATATAAATGACTGTCAAAGTAAATAATTAATAATATATGCCCATCGACTAAGCATGATGATTTTATGGCTATTCTTAGCAAGCATGATTTTTAAGTGTGTTTAAAGCATGTTTGACTCATGTGTAAGGTAAGTAATATAACGTTTAAGCGGGGAAATTGATAGCGTGATTTGTTTTCCTGATAAGCGAGTATAAAATGAAGATATGATTAGAACTAATATACATGCACATTAAATGCGGTTAATATGAAATAAGAACATGCTCATAACGATAAATAAAACAAATGTAAATAGTTAAGCAAGCATGCAGCTGAAAAACGGAATATTATGTAGTATTAATGAAACAATATAATACAAACTGGACAAGACCTGAATAATCATCCGTATATAGAAACTCTAAAACATCGTAATAACAAATTACCCCGCTCGATTTGCTCCCAAATTATTTGAGGAATAAATTAACAAGTTATAATTGACAGAACGTTGAAAACATTGTCAACAGATTACTAAATTCGACCCGATAGAAGTTGTAAAATATCTAAGGTGAACAATTTTAATTTAGATATAAACTGACGTTATTGAAATTGTCTACTTGTATATCGAATATTGCAAATGTTTTTGCAGCATGTTTGCATAATATTCTAAAAAAACCAGTTTGCATCATTGATGTTTTTTTCAGATAATCAATCAATTACAGAAGAAATCAATGCATACTAATTTGCTATATTTTGTGTCAGAGTTTATATACGAAATTCTCAACTAACCAAATGTCATAGAAACATTAAATTCACTAACCTAATGTTTGCCTCATTGTCACCGATACAACTTCTGTATACTTCCTCCACCTTCTTGTTCAGAGCCTGTAACATCTTCTCCTGGTCCTCTGCCTTGAACTCACCATACGAAAACATTCTGTAGTAGGAAGGATAGAATTTCTGTATTTTTATACAACGTGGAAAATGTATGCTTACATAATTAATCGAAATTTGTTATAAATTCTATTTATGGTAGCATTAATATCACCAATTTATAAAAAAAATAAAACACAAAAAAGCAGGGATTTTAATTATCTCCTGCCATGAATTAAGTTATTTTCTTTGAAACGATCATGATATAACTTTGAAATTAATTATTTCAGATTTTCAGACGAATCAAGATTTTTGCATAGAAAAAATCTACTAAAAATACACTATATTAGTTGTTAATTTAGTTATTGATTTACCAGATGGTTATTGTGCTACGAATCCTAAAAGTACCGCCACAAACTAACATGCATTCTGACGAAATATACCAGAGTGAAAGTTAGAAGGTATATTTGGAAAGAACTAACTATTAGTGTGAAATAGTAATCGCATTACATGTGTGTTTAAAATACTTTGAAATCTCTAAACCGCAAAAACGCTTAAATGACAAGGAGTAATGCTTTTATCATCTTATAGTTGACTTCATATTTACAATTCGTTTTCGAGTTTCTTCCGGTGTGTAGAAGCTATACCTCTATCTTTTTGTATAGGAGGTGCAGATTTCACGAAAGCGCTAAAAGCTAGAATGAATATGCTGCAAGAAAATAAGCGAGCATTTATGTAGAGATTCACAGAAGCTAGAAGCTAATTGAATAATAGAATTAGATGTGCTTAGTATTGTAGTACGTAGAATCCCACTGCCAGAACCTGAAAGAGATGGTTATTTAAGTCTAGAGAGGGGGAAGGATGGGTAGAGGGGAACGGGATGATGGTTGGGTTGGGTTGGGTTGGGTTGGGGAGGCTGAGGTTGATTATACAAGGTAATGTAAACGTTGGTTCTCTTTTCTACTCATGCTGAAAGGTAAACTATTTATTTAATAGTATTCTCTCATCTAACTTTCTATTATTTAGTTAATAGTTCTTGAAGCTGAAACTCACAAACCTCTGCCTTGAACAATTTAAATTTCAAGGATTTAATTTTATATACAAATTGCTTAAATACTAAGTACCAAATCTTGTGTTCGACAATCCCAATAGCTCATTGGTGATTTTTTTTCTCTATTATGAATCAACCACTAATATATCTACTATTGTTATTTCCATACAAAGTTGTATCAGCTTCAAGTTCTATATTCATTAGAAGTAAAAGAGTTAAGTTTCTTGTACAAACCCCCAATGTTCTACTTCGTCTAACATTGAACTAAAACAAACACAGCATACAACATCAACGGTTTGTTAAGAGAACAAAACTACACTGCATAACTAATACATTTTTCTCATCTTTCTCCGAAAATGGGTGAAACATATATCTTATCCTTTTTCAATTTTGCTTCGTAAATCTGAAATGTAGCACTTGCAGTGTTGACAGATGACTACTGGTATAATTTTAATATGCCTCAAAGAACGGCAGGGCATTTAAAATAATTTTGTATTTTGGATATATTTGGTGCATTTATTTTGTGTAAATCATTCACTTAGTCTCCTGGGTTGTGAATGATTCTTGGGTATCGTCAGATGTTAGCAACATATAACAAGGAATGTATTTAAACTCTTTGAAACAATTCCTGTAAAAGAAATTGTTTATGTGGCCAAAAGGAACACATATATGGTAAATAGAAAAGTGCAATATGATATCTCGAAAATGCAATGAATGGGTCAATTCAACTAGAATGAAATGTCGACCACTGTTAGTAAAATGTTAATTTCATCACCAAAGCTTTCAACGTACATATATTTGAGGTGGCCAAGCCAAAAAGCTCATACATTTGTAAGCTAAATTACATGTTGTAAAAAAAACTGTTTTAAACTAAGTGATATTTAGTGTGTTAGTGATTGGGTAATGGATTTATGGCAAAATATACAAAAAAGCTTAATTAGAAAAAAAAATACATTTTACAAACAATATTCCGTCTTTGCGTATTGTAGAGTTATCTTCTCTTGAGAACAGGTATTGATTGTTACGTCATTGGTTTGTGTGAGAAAATTACGTCGTTTTCTCAAAAATTGATGACGTTACTCTCACAAACAAATGATGTAACAATCAATACCTGTTCTCAAGAGAAGATAACTCTGCAATACGCAAAGACGGAATAGATACCAAACCACAAAATCATATTCATATAATGTATTAGTTATCTCAAGTTTTTGTTAGTTGGAGAACCACACATCAAAATCAAAACAACAGATGCAGTTGATAATTTAACAACACATTTACAGACATTTATGTTTCATAATACAAAACACATATAGAACGTATCATAATATAAAAACAAACTGGCCGTAAAAAATAATAATAATAATAATAATAATTAAAAACATGATTTAACGACTCACAGATAATGTTACCATTGAGTTAGCTCTGACAGACATCACATACATAACATTGACTTAAAATAAATCTGGTGTGTGATCAGAAATAAATATGTAAAAAAAGTAGTGAACAAACACATTGCAGTGACAGTATCGTGTTTAAAACAAAGTCGGGCACTTACTTGGCTTTGATTTTTAAATCCTCCGCTCGTGCTTCCTCTTTATAAATCTGTGTGTTTAATTTGTCTATTTGATCTTTTAATATTTGTGTTTCCTTCTCCCTGAAATTAATGCAAGTTAGTTGGAGTATTGTTTTCTGTTATAACTTATTTGAACGAATTATTTTTCAATTATTTTATATGATTAAATAATGAAATACATGTTATTTTATAGAGAATCGATAAATTGCAGCAGTTGAGATATTTGCAAAAACAATCATTAAAAAATTTAATAAGGCCACAAACTGCGTTACAATTTATACATTACCTGCATTCAAAACTCAACATAACATGAAATGTCATCTTTTTACAAAGCAACGCAAATAAGATTTTACTGTCTAATTTGTCTAAAATAAACTCTGTATAATCCAGAAACCTACATTAACAAAATAACTTATCAAAAAGTGTCCCTCAACAATCTTTGATCTACCTAAACAGTTAACTTGAAGTTAACTTCAGAATTTTCTCTTCTGCATTTTTTATCCAAATAACAGAGAGTTTGAACTACTGCCATTTTCAAGTATACTTACATCTTAAGTTTAGTTAATTTTATATTATGTTTCATCTCCTCCAATGCCTCCTCTGTTTCTTGACTGTTTTGAATTAATGACAGGTTCTGTTCCTCTAACTCAGCAAATATATCTAACAATTGATGGGGGTCACTGAAGAACAGGTCCAAATCCTGAAATGTAAGATCAAGTTTTTTTTCATTTTTCTAGGTTTTTTTTTTTTTTTTTTTTTTTTTTTAGTTTTTTTTTTTTTTTTTTGGTTTTTTTTTTTTTTTTTTTTTTTTTTAAATCTTGAAATATTATAAACTTTACTATATTGTATATGAAAATTACTGATCTATGCAAAGTACATTCAGTGAAACCTCAATATATAATACCTCTTGTTTCATATGCCACTTGGTTTACTGCAAACATGTTTTAACCCTTTCACCCCTATGTAACTTCCGTAGACTCTACCTTGCGTTGATAAGGATGAGTACATTATGGTCTACAGTGGTGAAAGGGTTAGTTAATGTCTCCTTTTCTTGTTTTCTTAATATCTCCCTTATACATTCCTCCAGACTTTTGCCAAACCCCTTTATAATGCCAAAACTTCTATGGGCAAATGGTGGCTTTATAACGAGGTTTTAGTGAGAATAACATCAAATGAAAAAAATCAAAGAAGCAAAACAAATGTTTTAACTTGCTAATTGAAATGAATCACTAATTTGAAGTCATACTCAACTTCTTTAAAAGCTTTCTATTTTGTGATAAATCTATGTCTTCCTGTTTAAATTTAAACCTCATGAAAGCAAGTTTGTATGCATGAGGTTGTTACATCAAAATGATATTGGTAATAGCAATAAAAAGTACCTTTTGCTGTGGTTTTTTTTCAGTACATATTATTTCATATTAATAGTTTAATCTTTCAGGAGATGGCTTTAAGATCATTAACATTGATTTTAATTTATCACCACAAATTGGTTTACAATTAATTAACTAGCATAACTGATAAAACCAAACAACTATATTGCCAAACCTCATCACTGTCATCGTCCGAGTCAAACATTGCCGACATAACACTCTCCTGATCTGGTCTGCAAGTACAAAACAGGCTAGGTGACAACAGTATCAAATATCATTATTTTAATTACAGTTTCATTGTATACTCTTTAACGCATTTTATCTAAAATATCTATATAACATATTGTGTAATTTTGTTTGATTAAGTATTGTCCTGACAAAATCATATGAAAATGGGAAAAAGATCAGATGCGTACCAGCCTATATTTTTTTTACTTTTTTGATAGCATTATACGTCTTGATTAATGAAACTGGTTTTATGTTTTTTACAACCTTTCATTTCCTTTTTAATCTAACACCCCCCATTACATGTCATTCTGTATACGTATGTGCAGGCATTTGTCCGAAAATCAACTGTTCACGAAGAGTTATTTTAAACAGAGTTAAGGTTTACTTAAATTTTAAATTAAAAACTTAAAAATATTATATTAAATCTGTACCACCTACTTTTTTGTGGCTGATCCTATTTTTGATACAGTATCAGATTTCGGTGGCAACTTCTTTTTTGTTTTGTCTAGGGCTGCACCACTCTTCTTCATAACCTGCATATTTTTCTCAAACTCTCGTTGTTTTTCCTTCCTTCTTTTCTGTCTTTTGAGATCTCTCACTTCTCTTGTTTCCTGAAAGTATTTTATTTGATTAATTTGATAAAAACAAATTTGTTATTAGTTAAACACAGGGGTCAATTGACATGAGTTCATTATGTACATGTGAATGCTAATATTCCATGAAAACTACACCAATACTTGTACATGTACAACACTGGTAAGTCTGTTGATAACTTATTTTCAAAACTGAAAACTCAGTTACATCAGAGATATACGTCCCTGGAAACGGTGTAAATTCCACTTCACATATTGCTTAATGTCATTTTTTGAAAATAACCAATTTTCCTAAAACATTATTTTTTCTGTCTCTTGATGTTAATTGTATTATGTAAGTACATCTGTTCAATATCATGCAATTTGACATATACACTCCTTTTAATATCAAGTTATATTACCGATTACTCAAATTATTACATATAAAAAATTCTCAAATCCATGAGAAATTTTAACTTTGCAACAGTCTGAGAGTTGATTTACATGCACAGTTTTGCTGTAAAATCAATAGCTTTGTTATGCAATGGGAAGAGAAGTACACGTTTATATTAAAATACTTATAATATTACTACCATATGCATGTTGGTTGTGTTCTTGGACAAGACACTTTATCCTGATTGTGTCAGTCTAACTAGCTGTATAAAGGGGTACCATTTCTTATGCTGGGAACTAAACATGAAATCAGTGGCTAATTGTTACAGAAACCTGAATTATACAGGTTTCCTAATTCCAGGTTCACCAAACGTCAGCTCTATGGCAGCTCTATAAGGGCCAACTGGCTCAGAACATAAAACATTTATAAACAATTAACAACATCTGTACTACCTGAGGTGTGAGGCTGTCCAGAAACTTTCTGTAAAGCTGGTACTCTTTCAATGTGTCTTCGTATTTTGAAATTTCAGATTTGATAGTCATCATCTGTGTGTTGATTTTCTTGACCTCTGCCACTTTCTCCAATTTTGCTTTTGTTTCATTCTCAGCCCTGAATAAAAAAAAATATTGAAGAAGGTGAGTTATGATTCCATTTTTTTGGTATACATATTCAGATTTGTTTTTTATTTTTGTTTGTTCTTTATTTGATTTTCAAAAATAGTACCATTTAAACCTGTTCTTAGAATTGTAACATTTAAAGGCAAATCAACCCTCCATAGATGTGTTATATTAAAAATATATCTAAAATATATATATAAGACTTTTTTTACTTGCTACATAAAATGGTTTGTAGTCCTTAGAATTGAGATAAACCAGGTATTTACATAGCCTTAATCCTGTTCTAAAAAAAATATTAAAACAAATCTTTGCTTGAAACAATAACACCAGATCATTAACTGATGCAGGCTTCATAAAATATATGCATATATTGTAATTATCAACAATATAAGTACATTGGACCTTATATTGACAATTAGACTTGTTTTTCTCCCACCCTTCACAGGCGTGTCTCCCATTTTGGCCTGGAAAGATCAGCTTGTCACCCCCTAGGGGGAGATAGCCTCATGCTGATGGGCACATGTTCAATTGTGACGTCATTAAAATGCGTCATCGGTAAAAGTGACGTCATCAAAAGTGAATGACGATATGCATACCCCACAAGTGTTTTTGTTTACAAAGATGTCAGACTACTGTCAGTGGAGCTGTGACTGAAATAATAGGATGGGAGAAAAATAATCATTCCCTACCTTGAGGGTGTGACAGAGAAATCTCCAACCCTCCAGGTGATTTTTTGGGTTGTCTAACCCCCGGCAGAGCCTTGGGTTAGACAACCAAAAAACATCACCCGAAGGGTTGGAGATTTCTCTGTCACACCCTCAGGGCAGGGGAAGATTCTATTAGTCATTGTATAGGATTACACTACATGTTTGTATAATCGTAATTCAAAGTGAACAAAACACTTACTCTCGCACTGCCTCAGCAGAGTTGGCATCATTTTCCTTGAGAAATTCATCAAACATGGCGGCATCCTCTTCCAGATACTGTTCTGCCAGCTCCAGTTTCTTCTCCTCCTTCTGTGCCATCTCCTCCAGCTTTTTCATCTCATCACGCTTCACACCAAGGGAGTACTACAACACAGAAACAACATTACAGCTATGTAGACTATAGCAACTCGGCCAGGCTGAAGTAACCTGGCTACAGTGCCGTAGGTGCTCATTTCAGGAGAGATGGCCATCCATTGATATACATGTACGTGTACTAACCATTTGCTGAGTAAGCAAAGCCACATCGACTAAGTAAAAATTCTTGTTTTACAGTAATATACATTGTTATTATTGGTAATAATACAATGCTTTAAATGTCACTTTCGAAAAAGATAGTTATTATATCACTGTCTTGTACATACATTTACAATATCTTAAAGGTAATTTTTAAACTAATATTATCTTTTACTACCTGTACAAGAAACATTTCCCTCTTTTTGGCGATGTACTCTGCCAAGGACTCTTTTTCCACGTGTCGATCTGAAAAAATCAAACAATATCATTGTACGTGTATATGTTTATATTCAGTCACCTTATATTTACTAATAATCTGTATCAAGAGCAGATTCATTTTATTAGGTTATAAACCATACTTGCCAACTTTTTAAAATTTCCACACGGGAGCTCAGAATTAAAAGCATAAAGAAGATGTGTGTATGTACACCCCAGGGTAAAAAACACTATTAAATGGTGTCTTTTGAGCTGGGGTTTTTCAGATGCAATAATCAGGTCTTAGAAAATAGGAATAGTTTAGCAAATTCAATGATTAAAAATGCTCAACTTTAAAACTGGGAGTCTCCCCCTCGAAAAATAGGGAGAGTTAGCAAGTATGATAAGCAGAAGTAGCCCTTAACCCTTTCACCTCTAGGTAACTTTAGTAGACTCTGCCAAACATTCCTTTGGATGAGTCAATTATGGTTTTCAGTGGTGAAACTGTTAGAGCTAGGCATAAGATATCAGCTTAGACAAAATATAATTTATAAACAAATAAATATTGTTGCTTTGTTTATAAGCCGCAATTGTCAGTAACATTCCTTTACACCTTAATCATTACTAATCAAATGTGATACATGTTTTTCTAACTTAAAATTAGTTATATTTTGAAATTTAAAAATAACTGAATCAATACAATAATGTTGATGGAAATATCTAGACTGTGTGACATTAGTTGTTATCTTGTGTGCTCTTCCAAATGAACAGTAGCACACGGGAGGTTTAAAGTTTAGATTAGAAGATGGCAGACGTGGTGATGTAACTGCCACATGTGTCGTATGTCTGTTAATGTGGCAGTGTTGCTTGAATAATCATACTTTGTACGATTTATATAAACAAAAATAGAAATCATAAGGAGGATCATTGTTTTGTAAATAATGTGTTTACAGTAAAATCTCGATATAATGCCCCTCGTTTCATTTTCCACCTCATTCACTGCCGAGCGATTTCAATGTCCCTTTTTCTGGTTTTCTAACGAATTTCATTAAACATTTCCCTCCATTTATTGCCAGACCTCTTTAAAACACCAAAATTTCTTCACACAAATGATAGCAGTATATTGAAGATTTACTGTACATGTAAAAATTTAATTGATTTCCATCTTCTACCTCCAGGAATCCCATTACTTCAAATTTGGTAATAAAATCTATACCTCTTGTCACTCTGATTGTGTATTGTGGGTCATCTTTAACTGACACAGTTTTATCACCGTCTTCACCCTCTTTTTCCTCATCAGAATCAGCCGGCCGAATCATGGAAGCAGTACGGAAGTTCACTTTCGATGAATATGTTGTTTTTTCATGTACGTGTAATCCTCTTTGCCGAAGTCTTTCCTGTATGCCACATATATAATGTTCAATTCAACATGACACCAATAATTATTTGTTTTTGAATAAAAAATTACTGCCGCCGAAAACAAGTTTTACCATTGAACCAGTTAATTATCTTATTAAGGTAAAAGAACATTTTGCTTTTGTCATCATCTTTCGGACAACTCAAAAGAAATTTATGAAAATAAGCTTTACCCCTATTTTAGTTTACCTGTTTTTTTCTTTGCCTCTCCTTATCTCGGAGGACAAAGATGTCACTGTCTGGGGCCATCTTAAATGGATTACCCTGGGTGCCCGCATCATCAGCTGTAATAGGATGCACAAGTATATATAAACATGTTAACTTTTTGTATTTTCTAAAAATGTGTAATCTTTTTATGTTTAGACAGTGAAATTTATAACACACTTCCCACACATCGGAACTTGATCAATTGCTAATTCTGGCCAGTACAGACAAGAAAATGTTTAATGATAATCCTAATACACAATGTAACATGTTTGTGATTATTTTTATAAACTAAGAGTTGGCACATATATATGAAAGAACCTCCGGCATTGTGAATAGTGTATCAAAATCAAATCTCAAAGATTTCAAAATTTGATAATTTGTTGTTTTGCACACTTAATGTATGTAGCTCTCCAATTAGTCACTATGATCAGTTGACAATAAATTACTTGAAATGAAAATTATACATTTATTTCCAAAATGAAACCCTAATAACAGCCCTTTATTTTACTGCTAATTTTTTTCAAAACTCTATTTCATTTTTATACATACCTGACATAATGGAACGACTTGATCCAGATTTTGCAGAGTTAGGAAAGGTTACGCGTCCTGATTGCCCAGAGATAGCTTGTCCTAAAAGACAATAGTTCAGGGTAATAAAAAACGTCAACATCACTAATAAGTATATCTCTACCTTGCAATTATAGCAAATATGCAGGAAAAACTACAATGACATAGTGATTACAGATAAATCAGAAGATATAATAAAATATACCATGTTCAGCATTTACAATCAATAAATAACTACATCTTTTCACCTGAATGAACTCAGGTCACTGTTTCAATCGACCAGAACATGTATAATCCCCTGTCAATATTACATATATATCTGTGTATGAAGAGCAGAATCATTAAATTTCAAAGGTAATGAAACATACTATAGACAACTGTGGTTTATCAGATGCCATACCCATTGGCTGACACCTAATCTAATGTATAATTGGAGCATATCCACCAGAACTGTCATGCATCCTATTCCTAACTCCTAAAATACAGAAGAGGCTGCTAGTTGACAGATTTTTTATAATGTATGCAATGCCAATATTATTGGAATTAGAGTATCACCCATCCATGATGCTGACCCCGACACCAGACTTAGACATTTTGACAGATACATGTATATTTCTGGTGCTTGCCACACCAGTCATCTATCTGTCAAAATGTTTAAGTCCGGTGTCGGGGGAAAGAGGTAACTCAGGCAACGGACTAGGAAGCACACAACTCTCTTGCCTGTTACACATGTATATATTTATACTCACTTGATTTCTTGCCGGAGACATCTGTGTCTGGAGACCCAGGATTGGACCTATTAGGTGAGTCAGCCATTATGTATATTTGAAGACAGCAATTCTGGAAAGAAAGATGAATCCTATTGAACTTACGCTGTATAATTATCAAGCTAGAAAAGTGTTACCATGATACATGCCAAAATGTCTGTCTTCTTTTTCTTTAAAGTACAGGGGCTCCATCAATAACTGATGATTTATATAATGCCCTTGGGGATCCTGTCACAGAGGCGTGAAAAAGGGGGTTATAATTTGTAGTGGTCAGATAAAAAAAAAATGTGCAGGGTATAAGATAAAAGGTATAAAAGCTGGCGTATGTACTAGCGTGTGATGAGGGCTTCAATGGCTGTATAGGGTATGTGTGCCTTGAAGTCATCTACTGCTGCTATGGGAAGGAGATTACATTGCGTTATTGTGTGTGGGAAGAATGAATATATATGTGTAGGTGTTCTTCGTTGCAGATGTGTTTTTAAGGTTGTGCATGTCTGGTGTTAGTGTCAGAGGAAACTCGGGCAATACGACATACATGATACAGCAGTCAAGATAAAAACAAATACAAACGTGACCATGTCATATACAAACTGTATGTTCATTTATGTAGTCACTTGTAAAAGTTATATAATGTCGTGAGGACATGTGATGCCGTGCACAGGTTGGCCACAACACGTAGGACATACAAGTGACAGAGTGAAGCTAGTCAGTATTTACACTTTGGTTTATCTTTTATCAATATATTATCAATGTATGTCAATAACATATAGTTTCTTTACATGTTAAGACATTAAAAAGACGAGCTGTACCAACATCACATCATAAAATTATGAATTTGCTAAAAAAAGAGACCGCTAAATATTTGCATACCTTATCTGCAGTTCTGATTCTGTTTACAATTTCCGTGGCAACACCATCAATGCCAGTAAGACGCTTTGACTTGTTGGTATGATTTAAAACACTCAGTAGATCTCGATAACAAGTTGGGACAGGGTACACAACTCTTCTTCGTCTTTTTAGGTCACACACACACACACACATTTCTTTTGTGCAGCACCTCGTCCATTTTACAATGAAATTTGCAAATAAATCAAGCTTAAATTTAATTTAGAAACGGTTACTGCCAATAATTGACACAAAGTTGCAATGCATTTCTCGTCCCAGATAAATACAATTAAAGTTAGACTGCATGTAGGCCTATACATGATATGAAAGCACTTTTTATTGCAAAATATTTCGTAAACGAATCATACACAGGTTTTAAATATATTAGGAAATTATTATCAGACATTAAACATAAGGATTACAATACATGTTACACACTGCAGGGCCGGATCCGTTGGGGTAGTCAGGGACGTATACTATTGTCCCTGGGGTAGTTTATGAGATTAATAATCTTTACAGCCTGTCTCAGACCTCAGAAACAATAGTGATGAAAAAAGTATAAATGTGTCAGAAATAAAGAAAATAATATGATTTAAAAAGTCAAAGAGTTGGTTTGGGAATTGTTTTTATTTATAATCATAATTATAATTTTTTTATAAATCTGGGGTCACATGCCCGACCATTTGGTGTTTCTCCAGGAACTGCGTTTTCCTCTTGTTATCCCATGCGCGTTTTCATCCTGGCCAACCGGAGTGATGTTTTATATGGATCTCAACACTATTCTTATTTCAATTCAAGGTATCTATACTGTTATGTCTTGTGACTTTGTAGGTAAGGGTTTTCTCGTAAATGTGATTATCTCCCTTTACATGCTACATTTATAAGATGTTATTTTTAGCTACATGTAATGTTTCTGTTTTACATGAACGTGACTTCAAACAGACCGAGTTCCTTGTACCTTGTTATATCTTTTTTATTTGTGTAAAACTTGTATCATCATTGTTTTAAAATAAATAAAGTTTAATATTATCTATTAACGACCCCGGCAAACTGTGACAAACTTTCATCACCATTTGACAAACAAACGAATTAAATTATCTTTGACATCCACACTACAGCCTTAGAAGTACATTATACAGGAGACATCTAAAAGAATTAGACATAACCAAACTATCGGAAACGAGCGCTGCTGGAAAAGTCACAGAACGTTAAAATTTGCAACGAAATCTCTCAACTTCTCGCTAGCTATATTCCGTCTTTGCGTATTGCAGAGTTATCTTCTCTTGTGAGCAGGTATTGATTGTTACGTCATTGGTTTGCGTGAGAAAATAACGTCGTTTTCTCAAAAAATGATGACGTTACTCTCAAAAACATATATGACGTAACAATCAAAACCTGCTCACAAGAGAAGATAACTCTGCAATACGAAAAGACGGAATAGTGTCAGGCCTGTATCCCGAAAAATGAAGACATTGTAAAAGGTCGCGCCAATATTCAAATAAGAAAATAATGGCAAAGTGTCAAATTACGTGCCCAAACCTTAGGTTTATCTTTGACGGGGAAAATGTTTTGAACGAGTGGTTTATAAAGCATATTTGCAATTATCTTAATGAAAACGGATTGTTTAAAAGATATTTCCGAATCATTCGTATTCTCATAAAATTATTAAAATGCATCACTCGATCACTTGATAACACGAACACAAAACTCTTGTTATTTGTGATTTCTCAACATGCAGGATTACTTCATAATCTTTAAAAGACATGACATTTTTGGCAGTCCCTAGTATTAAAATGAGGTTTCGATAATATCAGAAACGGAGTATTGGTACGGAATCCACATATCTTTAACAGAGACTCCAGGTGTTTCACAAGGATCTGTAGTAGAACCACATTTATCCTTACAATTAATGTAATTTCTCAAGGATCTATACTGGGACCACTATTATTCATACAATGTTCTATATTCAATTTATATTCATCTGTATAAATAACTGACGATGAATTATTCAATTTTTGCTGCTTTTTTAATGACAGAAAATTGTATAAGTTAATCTCAATCGCAATTTTTGCTGTGACTGAATAAGTCCATGTCAAGAATCAAAATGATGTGTTTTACTATTATAAATAATATGAAAGTAAAATCTAGTCATATCAATGGAGTTTCCATAATTTCACGAAATGCACCAGTTAAACAGCGTACGTCTTGTGTAAGGGAAACCTGATACATGTTCGTCTGATATTTAGCTAACTGGGCATCTTTAAAACGTTTGACAAAAAAAGCAATATTTTCACCACCAGACAAGACTTAATTAGAACCCTACGACTGACAACACTGAAAACAGAAGGAAAAATAAGATATTTCATATAACTGTATGTTATTGTATCACAAACTAAATTGTTGTAAGCGACAACTGCTTGTATGGGTTTCTATCATTTCCTTTACAAACTATTGTCTGTTTACTGCCAGGGTTTCCCTGACCACATACATCAGTTCTGCATATCACAAAACGATATTGTATTTGACATGTTCTATATTGGTTGAAAACAGATCGTCGTTTTAAAAAGCTTCATCAAACACATTTATGTCCTCTACAAAAACAATGAACATTCCCAGTATTAGCTAGTTGTGTTTTATACATGAGGACATCGACCGACGGGTCAACACAATAGATAACGAGCGGTCATCGCCGTCACTGTGGCCTACTTTCAGTAGCCTTCAGCTAGCCTCATGCTATTTATTTGTGATCAACAGGTTGTACGTCTTCTATGGCAATCTACATTTGTAGTTTCAAATGACCACGCTATATATATATATATATTCAGCACTTTCGTTTTTCATTTCAGAATATTTTACAGCCTTTTATCAAAGCACAGACGTATTAACATGAAATAATATTAGATATTATTGAAATATCGATTATAATACGTAATATGAAGTGGTTGCTACAAATAACGGCCGGTCGGTCAAACATGAACTGGAAACTAGCTCAGACAAAGTGTCCATAAATTCACTCTGTTCTGAGCTGGTACTTAAGGACAAGCCGACCTATATACCCGCTACAACAAATTTACTTATTAGAAAATAAGTAAAATCTAATAAGAACCGTTTAGTATCCAAAATACATCTCTAAATCGTCTCCAAAATTAAAAAAAAAAAAAATCATCAAATTAACATAAACTCTTTGACAACCATACCATATACTGCAATGGAATATCATCACTTAGATCAGATATGGAGTTAATGGGGGATATTCTTTGGTTCATATAAAAAACGACAATGGAGGAAGAAGTTATCTCAATCTTCAATGGGATAACCCCAAATAAAGCACATTCCTGGTACTGTTTCCTGTTTTTACAGGACCCTTCAGCTTCTCCTTCCCTACACCTCCCTATATACTTACACTGGTAAATGTGACAGTCGTTATAAAACCAGCATGCACTCTAAGTCGTCTTTATCTTATATGTCCTTCCTAATCTCGATGCCGTTTCCAATTACCTGCATGTTTGTCACATTGTTAATGGTACATTTCTATGTCTGAAACACTAGCTCACGAGTAATTAAACATTATATCAAGCGTAAAAATGCATGTGTATTTTACCGAAGTACCCGGCTGCCGTTTTACAAATCTTATATTTTTATAAAAAAAAAAAAATATTTTGAAAAATAAAAATCGCCAACGCATAAACGTGACGTGACTGTCTCTGAACATATATAGCTAGAGTAGACACTCTACACGTATATAGTCTTATGGAGTACGTATATAGTCTCGTTATGAAAAAAAATAATCGTCAGTCTCAGTGTATTTGTTGTTATGATTCCCGTCACGTTTGATAATATTTGGTTGCATTACATTGTATACAGATACAGTTCCTTTTACTTCACAATGCTCAAAACGATCCACGTTCAAATCTCTTTTTATTTGCGGTAATGCATGGCTCCTGGCCTGAGTTTCATGATATATATATAATACAGAATGTGAAAGCAAGGTGAGCGCAAGAAGTTAAGAAATATTTTGACGACAGCCAGTCACTTAGGTGGGAAAGTTGATAAATCGTGTTTTTGTACTCATGAGCTACTGTTACATACACACACAAAAAATGTATAATTTACAAGGACAAACATGCAGACGCATATACCTGTGTTGATTGGTACCCGATGACGTGTTTCTGTCTGCGCAGAGAATATTTAGACAGGATTTGGATGTTCAGATATATGAGCTATTATCTCAGATACTCCGTAATATTATCGCCTATCTCACTTCATTTTTGTAAGAGAACTTTATTGGCAACTATTGCACTGCATGATGCCTGGTTTCCTCGCCATTTTTGATCGCAGCCTACAACATGACATCCTCGATATCCAGGGGTTACGCTCACTTTCGCTCTTTACACCCCTGGAATATAACATAGCAAAATTAAAGGCACGAAGATAGCTGTTTGATTGGTATTAGGTAAAAAAAACACCTGACCAATCGCTAGTCTGATACCTGTCCTTTAAAGATAACAAAGTAGAGACGCCCTACTTCAAAGCCTGTCAATTTTTACAGTTACGTGACCGCGAGATTCTTTTGATGTACATCAAAGGTTCGAACTAGTTTTTTTGGTCTCATCAACGAGGTGGCGCACGCCGAGCCTTCATTTTTGCTATGACATATTCCAGGGGTGTAGAGAGCGAAAGTGAGCGTAATCCCTAGATATCGAGGATGACAACATGAAAAGCAACCATTGCTTCATATTTCAATTGGAACTCTTACATTATAGCGCATGCCCACAAACATGTAAGTCCCCTTCTGATTGTTGATGACTATGGACGACCATACCGTGACATTCACAGTGTGAATAGTGTTGTAAAGTCTTCATTGACATTGACCAACATACGTTATCAGTGAGCTTATCTCGGCTAGCCGATTACCTAGACGCGTTTGTTAATAAAAGTATTCCCGTACAATAACACTGTGAAGCGTCCAATACACTGAAATCGACATGTCCACCGACGTGAATCTCGTTGTAAAGAATGCCCGCCAGGTGGTGCTGGTGCGGAGGGACCCCACCCTGAAGGTGTGTGGGGAGGACATGAAACAGGTAGACACCCTGCAGGAGGAGGACGGGGACGGGATCAGTGTTGTATCTAACAGGTAAGTAATCTAACAAACGGTCCGGTCAAATGGGTCATACATGTAGACGCCATTTTCCGGAAATTCAAAGGTTCCGCTTTCTATGATTGTTTGGTTTTATATTGTTTAACGTTCTATTAGCGGCTAAGGCATTTAAGGAGGTGCCTCCATGTGTGTTGTGTAAGCGTGCATGTGTGTATTTCTGCCGGAGACAGGGTATGTTGGGGTACTTGCCTCCTTGTGATAGCGCGGATCTGATGCCGACTGTATAGTGCTATCTCACTGAATACTCATGACGAAGGCACCTAGCACAGCATTCTGCCCGTTCACATTATACTGACAACGGGTGAACCAGTTGTTGCCATTACCCCAAATACTGAAAGTTGAGCTGGGAATAACAGCTGCCATGTTTAAGTACTTTGGTATGTCCAGGCCTGGGGATAGAATCCATTGCCTTCCTAACCTTTGCGAACGCTGAACATTAAAGCCAAAGGTGAGGTATTGCCAAGCAAGGCGCTAGGAAATAAAAGGTAGTTAGAAATAGAAAGAAGCCGCTTTCCATGAACATACCTTCTCTGTACCCTTGGCATATTTATTGACAATATCGCAGTCTTGCGGTAAGCTATTTGATTGGTTTTCGGTGGATACAACTTACAAATCGCTAGGCTGATACCTGTCTTGTAAAGATTGAAAAGGAGCTACGTAAAATTCGAAGTCTGTTGATGTTGTCAAAGATCTGCAAGATGATACATTAAGAGCCAACGATTTTGTCATATCATACTCCAAGACATCTTCGATATCCAGGGGTTACGCTCACTTTCGCTCACTTTCGCTCTCTACACCAATCAAACAGCTATCTTCGTGCCTTCAATTTTGCTATGACATATTCCAGGGGTGTAGAGAGCGAAAGTGATCGTAATCCAAGGATATCGAGGACGACTCCAAGAGTGCAGGGAAGATTCGTATATCGAAAGCGGAACCCTTGCTTTTCAAAGAAGTACGTTATCTAAAAAATCACAAATGAAGTGCCAGTTGCTTCACTGCATCCTAACGTGTGTTGCTCTGTGTAATTTCTTGTCTATTGTTATACTGTTGTAATATTGGACTATTTCGATTAACTATATGCGTCTTAAAACAAATGACGTCAGTTCCTTAATTTTCATTTTGACCATCATCGATTCATGATTGATTTAGTTAAATGTTTACCATCGCTATTCTGGTGACATTCAAATGCTATTTGATAAGTTGTTTGAAAAATTATCTAGTATTTATAAAATGTATACAATAAAGTATCGATTTGTATTGCTTGAATGTCAGAACAAACATTAGGAAGCCATTTGCCATTATTTCATTTGGAGAATATTTTCGACTCATCAGAGTTTTTGTATGCGTCCATTGATTATTTGTAATGTAATACCCCCTATCGATATATCCCCTCAAGTCGTAGCATAGGCTATATTGAAGATAACAATGTTTAATGCTTTACTTTTTTATTCCGTTTTATTAATATGTGCTCAGCTGTGGAAAGATAGTGTTCATTGGAAAAGAGTCTGAGCGGAAACGGAAATATGTCGAGAGTGCGACTACCCGCATCATCGACGCATCTGGGAAATGCGTGTTGCCGGGTAAGAGCTTGATATGGATGGCGTAAAGAAAGGACCTTTAAAGTGATAACAAGATATTATTTTAAGAACGTAAACCGCAGAGTGTTCGTGTACATGTAGTTATAATTTTGAAATACCTGTGTTACCATCATGATTATTTTGCAGCAACGCCATGCATAAGGTAAAGATAATTATACACATGTAACGTTAGATATGACTACTTAATGTAAAATCAGTACTTAATGTAAAATCAGGTTTGTGAACATCTGAACCGTTTAGGTTCTAGTCTATTTAGGATGTAATATCCTTCGTGAAGTAGACTACAATCTTTCGTTCGTATCTTAAACCAATTTTTGAATTTTGTAGAAACTTTATTCTTATACGATCCAAAAACAGCCTAACCATATATGAAGCTAGTAACACGATGAATTACCCAAAGGATCATAAATAGCTCTTACGAATAAATTACTTTCTAAGGACGAAAAGTGTGTTTTAAGCCCTATGTTAGCGATGACTACCTGATGGTATGGTCAAGCTGGTACCCCATTATACATTGTACCTTCAAGAATTTTTGGGTAACCCGTTACATTTCCCAGATGAAAAATCGCTTAAAGCTCTAGTGTACATAATTATATTTCGTATCTTAATGAAAACATTCATACGATTAAAAATGATGTTGTCTTTCATTTTAAAATGTCCTAATATGTTATCAGTGTTATTTGTATTCCACAGGATTCGTAGACGCCCACACTCATCCCGTATGGGCTGGAGATCGTGTCCACGAGTTCGCGATGAAGGTGAGTAGTGAGCTTACACTCCTATAAATGGCCGAGCTAATCTGTTTCCACTCCACCTCAGAACATGCACCCATGAAAATGTTTAGAAATGCCATTATGTAAGCATTACAAGGAACGACCTAAGCATACCTCCCTACGCTCCACGAGATCTCACAGAAGAGCAATACGTTTTCTTTAGTACATTTTGTAGACCTTATTTATTTCAAAAAAGTTGATACTTTGCACAAATTTCGATTTAAGAGAGATATTCGATATTTTTTTAAGAATGCATTACAGTATGTCATGAAATTTAGAGTGAAGGCTGAAGGGATACGTGGAGTTTTTATTCCAAAACAGGAAAATGGGGAAATGTTCTTCTTGAGATTTTTTTTATGATGGCTTAAACATACTGACGTCATGGTGTTTTGTTCCTCATCAGCTTGCAGGTGCTACGTACATGGAAGTTCACAAAGCAGGCGGAGGTATACACTTTACAGTAGAACACACGCGTAAAGCTTCCGAGGAGGAACTATATGACGGGTTAAAGCAAAGACTAAATTCGATGATGAAAACGGGGACTACATTAGTTGAATGTAAGAGTGGTTACGGACTCAACAAGGAGACGGAAGTGAAGATGTTGAAAGTGATTGACCGGGCAAGAAGGGAAATCCCTATTGGAATCTCGTCTACGTTTTGTGGTGCACATGCAGTGCCAAAGTAACTTTTTTTCTGTTATTGAAACCGTTAATTTTCTTTCGCTGTAATTAATTCTACACAATGGATCACTTTGTACTGGTATTAACGTCACTGTATTGTTACTGCTTACGTTTTCGAGATAAAATATGCTTTACAATTTTAATCATATTATACAATTATTAATCTTTCTGGATGTCGATAGATCGAGTGAATGTATTACTCTATGTTGTAACTCTATATAAAGTTACGTATTGACAATGCCATATTGTTCTTGTTGAAAATATAATCGTGTATTACAAAATTGCAATATGTCTCTGTCAGAGGAGGAAATTCGGAAGACGCCACTAACGACGTCATTTCCGTCCAGTTGCCCTGTATTCGGGACATGATGGACAGGAAGGAGCTACACGTGGATAATATAGATGTATTTTGCGAGCAGGGCGTCTTTGACATAGATCAATCAAGGCGAATTCTTACGGCGGGCAAAAACATGGGTCTGCAGATAAACTTTCACGGAGACGAACTTCATCCGCTTGAGGGAGCGAAGGTTAGTAGTTGTAGGTTTGAATGATCATCCATAATCAAATAAGTTAAGAATTAAAGGCTAAGATTGAATGGTAATATTGCAGCGAACAAAGAATGTAATAGAAACAAGAATTTCTTTACAAAAGATCCGTATAAATTTCCGATTGATCGATTAGGGTAGCATGAGAGCCTTGAAATTTAAATACATGACTTTGCTATCTGCAGCTATAATTCTTATTTGTTGATCTCTTTAACAGATATCGATGTGAATGTTTGTCTACATGATCAACTACATTGAGTCCATCTCTTATCTTGCATACAATTTAGAATATTAATGATAACTTATTCACTATACATGTCTTTCATAGATGGGTGCAGAACTTGGAGCTCTGTCGATAAGTCATTTGGAGGAAATATCTGACGCTGGTATATCTGCCATGGCGAAGGCAGGTTCCATTGGTGTCGTCCTCCCTACGACTGCTAACATTCTAAGACTGAAACCACCACCGGTCCGAAAAATGATAGATTCCGGAATGGCGGTTGCTCTTGGCTCCGATTTCAATCCAAATGCGTTCTGTTCATCAATGGTAAGTCCTGTATACGTTTCCCTCATTTTCATACTTCAATTTTAACGTTGTATATTTTAAGAAATCTCGTAGGGAATTCTAAGGCTACCAATTTCTTAAACACCTTATTAAAAGTAAATGAGTGATATTATCTATTACACTTGTGATTTAGCCTCTCGTCATGCATCTGGCATGCGTCATTTTACGTATGTCCATGCCGGAAGTTTTGATTGCTGCCACTCTGAATGCCGCTGCTGCCCTAGGGAAGTCCGACACCCACGGATCTCTAAATGAGGGGAAATGTGCTAATATGGTGGTCATCGACGCTCCACGGTAAGGGAATGTTTTTTTCTTTCTTGTACTGCTTTGAAATGGAATTTATAAATTAGGACTTAAAGGGAAATGCGCATATTTTACAGAACTGATTAACAAACATAGTTTTCCTATTGGTTTGAAATGATATGAGAACATACTGTCTTGTTAATTGTGTTTATTATTTCAGTGCTGTATTGTTGACCGTTAACATAGCTTACGGGTTTTGTGTTCTTAATAACTGTCTCAATGAATTATATGTTGCCTTTTTTCTCTATCTTTATGATTTAAACGTGGCGTGTTCGCCGTCTTTGTAATTTACATGCTTGCTTGTTCACTGTTTTAACGAGTCACATTCTGTCCGGTACAATATATTAAGGATCTACATCCTTTCGCACCGCCTTTATGATTTATATGTGGATAGTTCACTGTCTGTATACCGTTCTAGTTTGTTCAATGTCTTGATCATTTACATACTGGTTTGTTCAATGTCTTTCAGATGGGAGCACATCGTATACCAACTTGGTTTTCACAACAGTCTCATTGATTTTGTTATTTGTGACGGGAACGTCGTGTATGAAAAGTGACTTATGTCTTATATCCAAACGGTATATATGTGTTGTCTGCATTGTTATATACATGTACCTATTAGCTTTATACAAAAAGTCATTAAATCATTGATATCAGTTTTTGTACGGCTTTTCTTCATATATGTATAAACACAAAACTAAATGGTATCTTTCAATTCATGATTTGGACATGATTTCATGTCTGATTTAGAGATCTTTGTACGAACAAAATGTGATATTGTTCTCAAAGAAATAGTGAGCAAACTGAACAGAAACGGTTAATAGAATTATAACGATAAATACGCTTAAAATGTAGCCAAACCAAATATCTTTGGTAAGATAATATATTGTAGTATAGAGATAATATCCGCACACCTGCAAGTCATTCCACTTATGGGGATATAAACTTAGTTACCTGAATTAATTATAACATGTGTCCCTATCATATTCACCTGTAGGATAGATGTACTTTGGAACCTGTAATAGGTCAAACGTATTTCACTTCTACACATGACTGTAGGGTATAAAACGTGGTTTACTTGTTAAATTCGTGTAAGTTGTCTTACGTAACTCCTAGATAGGCTGACCATGCGTAAAATGTCAGGTGATTTTTTTAACCCTCAAGTTGAATCCATAAAAATACCAATCAGGACATGTGTCAATATACAATCTCATATAGCATTGTAAAAAAGATATCGGTTGAGTAGCATATCATGCCAAGATCTGTCAATGGCCATAGACATTTGGTTAATTATTTAAGTTATACGTTAGCTTGATGTATCTTCTATTATCAAATAAATTATTATATAAATGATAAGCAGTGGAAAAGTGACATTTGAAAGACTGAATTTAAAGCTGAAGCATTATAATGTAATTTAGACAGACAGACACCCGGACGCCTTACAAACTAATAACTAGATATTGACATACAAATAGTGAATGGAGTCAATGGCTGTATTTAATTCAGTTTCAATAAGCAGTGATATGATACTTTCAATTCCTTGATTTGAAAACAGAGGAATAAAAACCTGCCAAATAACATGATATGATGATTGTAACACACATGTGATTGAACCATTGACATTTGGTAATAGATACAGTACTCCAGAAACGAATTACACTGCATCATACAGCTGTCTCGTCCTTATTGGACTTATCGTTGGTGCTAAGGAAATCCGAATTGTCTAGTGTACTGTTGAAACAGAGGGTCAGGTGCTTAAAATCCCTTTATTTATGAATGAAGAAAATTATAGGAGAGCTGATTAATTTAAAATCAATTATCTTAAAAGTGTTTATTTTCTTACCCGTGCCCCTCAAAAGAAACAACTGTGGTCATCAAGATGCAAACATCGGGGACTAAACAATCCACCAGCAGTTTCTGCTTCCTTGTATCTTGAAGATGAACGTACAAAACACACACACACAGGTAATTGGACCTTAAACATTTGGTAAAAGATGCAGAATGGCAAAAAATGAATAACACTGATATTACATAGCTAGGATTCGGAGGTCAAGCTAACAAATCAAAACTACATGATAAGATATATAATAATCTATGATATGGACGTCAAGCTAACAAATCAATACTACATGATAAGATATATAATAATCTATGATATAGACGTCAAGCTAACAATTCAACACAACATGATTAGATATCGTGGAACTAAGTCAAGGAAGTTAAGCTAACCATACAGTATTCTATATCACAGAGGCCAAAGGTTGATAAAATAAATCAGTATCAAATTGTCACAGGCCTGCCACTATTGTAAAGTATTATTATGCAACCACTCATTTGAATCGTTTAGGAGCAGTCTTTATAAATCTAACGGACTACGATGGTAAAAATTCTATAGCGGCTCGACATGGGTTAGTTTGATACAATACAGAGAAGTACACATTTTCAACACATGTGGTAACAGATTTTAGATTATATCATGAATAAAACATATGGCTGTCCCAGTCTGATACTTTTCAATAGTGTTCTACATAATATATATATATGTATTTAATTTTAAGTGTCCACATTTTTATGACCGAATAATTGATATTTTATTGATCAATTTAAGATGGGTAAAAACTGACACATCATTCTTTAAATTTAAAAGAACCTTCGCTGTGTCTGCGCAACGTCAATTTAGATTTAGATGGCATTTTGGCCAAACCCCCCAAGGAGTGTTCACTTTACAAAATATATGTTAATTATGGTGTTTCCTTTACAATAATATAGAAAAGATTCATTAACACTACAATGACACCAAAGAGAGGCTGTTAACCTATCAAACCTTTTTACCAATTTTCTCGCGTGTTCCGACCTGTTGACCATACTGATGTAAATGAAGTATATCTTGATGCTAAGGGAATATCTCTTTCATCTTCATTTTTTCTTAGGGCGTGATGCATTATGTGTCACAAACAAAGGTAACCGTTATAAAAGAACGTAAAGTAAGATATAAATCAAATGTATAGAATTACTTAAATGATTGCAAAGCGAAAAAGAAAATCACAAGAAAAGTGTTTGCCAATAAATCAAATAGAATTATTTTAATTCACTCTGCATATTGCTTCTTTATCCAGTTCCCCAAAACGGACTTCCCAATAAACGAGCAAAAATTAAAGTTATAAAATGTTTCAGATTCCAAACATAGTAGTAGAAGTGCTCGTAATGAAATGTAAATAAAGAATGTAAACATGTAAACTTAACACTAAAAGTGAACGTTTCCTTTGTTTCTAAACTATCTGTACAATGATCCCTAACTTAACACAATACCGATTGGGCCAAAAGTTCTGTTTGGAGTTGGCAGCTTTTCCTATAAACATGCTAATTATTTCATAAATGTGTATAATGAGACACGCCATGCTAACTAATAAATTACGTAGTCATGGATATGGAAAGAGTTCACGCAACGCTGAACATAGTACGCCCCTTGCCTTGACATTGACACATTTGTTTAAATTCTGATAAGCCAAAGAAATGTTAGCATATTTATAAATTTCAGATTTTTCAAAATTCGCGTACAATAATTCGTCTCGCTATGTAACCAGGCTTTGAACAAATGAGAACTGATTTCTAGCAGGAGGAATTTAGTGTCTACTATGATTAGATCAGGTTCGGTGTCGTAGATACATTTGTGACGGATACATTTTCCTGTTTTGATATAGAAGTGGTACATGTGGCTCAGATCAAGACCACATGTATCTGTGTTGTTATTCTTCTGTGTCCGTGTTGATTGACGCTATTCTAGTATTCAATCTTCATTTTATTATACTTTACATACGGTTGTACGTAGGTAACTATTGGTCCCCTTCGACTTCCAGCAATATTTCACTGTTTGAAAAATGATAGAAGTAATAACAGTAAAATTGAAAGTAGCAATAATAGTAAAACAGATAGAATGTAGTAATAATAATAGTAAACATGATTTTAGCAAAAATAGTAAATATAATAGTAAAAATAGTAAAAATAATAGTAAAAACAGTTCAAATAATAGTTGTAATAATAGTAAAAATGATAATAGTAAAAATAGAAAAAATAATAATAAAAACAGTAAAAATAATAGAAAAAACAGACAAAATGATAGTAGTAATAATAGTAAAAAATGTGGTAATAATTACAATAAAATGATAGTAGTAATAACAATAAAAATGATAGTAGTAATAAAAGTAATTGAAATTATGATAGAGAACTATTTCACATATGATTCTAGTATATAATCAAGCATTTTGTGGTTCATTTATTGATTAATTAAACGGTAAAACAATTGTATCAATTTTCGCTTGTGCTATAGCTGCATACGTCCGATTCTAAGCTAAATCCGAAAACCCTTTTTCGAAGATATCCACACAAAGAACCGTTTCTTCCTGCTGCAACCTACTATCCACCTATATTTGACGTATCAAAATGCCATAAAATTGCCATATATATTATACTGTTTATATTCTTACATTTTTTGAACCACAACATAAAACAATATTAGAATTATTCAAAATCCTAAAATCAGCCGGACCTAATATTCACATCAGAGTTAGACATATTTTACAAAATTACTTAAAGGCAGGGTACACTGAACAAAATGATACTTAAACAATTTAGTTTGAATCTGTTGGCATGTCGTATGTAACGTCATCCCCAAAACTGTTACTTATCTATATCACATCGGTAATGTAAGGTTAGATTAGTCATAAGCTGCAATTACATCTTGATCAGTAAAACAATATAATGAATGAATAATATTATAACATGAAGTAAACGATAATCCTAATAATTCCTTACCCAACAACAGTTAACACAGTCAATATAGATACATTGTATATGTCTGTTAGCCGGTTTATTGTTTAATAAATAATGTCCGGTCACTACCATACGTTATCAGATGTCTACAGAATTAACGATCTTCTACATGTCTAATGCCATCTGACTCTGCATATTCAGCAGAAATGTTATCTACATCTAAAACCCACATAGTGGGAAATATTACACTCAGCCATAAATGTACCCCACAATGTATATTTATCGGTTATATCTTTCTGCTTTGTGCCTTCAAGAAGTCATATGTAAATGGTATGTTATTATATTCATAGACTGTAGATTTGAATGCAATGCATTATCCTATACGCATCACCGTCAAAGGTCAGAGGAATATCATATGCTAGACTGGTAGATGGTCATAGTTCATAATTCATCATATCAGCAAACGGTCAAAGTCATGAATGGATTAGAATCCAGGGGAGCGATATGGATGACAAATGGATGTGATTTTTAACAATGCTGTCAATTAACTATTGCAACTGTATCTGTACTTTAGAGTATACCGTTTCGTATCAGATCATTTCGAGGTGGCGATTGTATTGTTTCGTCAAGTTCCACTGGGATGCGTTTTTCATTATGTTTTGACTAGTCACAACACATACTAGATTGCTATCTTTGTTAGTGTATTCCAATATGAGCCCAACTTTGTCGATTACAATATCGTCAGCTTAAAACGTATTTCCTTTTTTCTCGATTTGCAATTAAATCAAGCATATAATGATTCATACACATTGACTAATTAATATCAATTTCTTTTAAATATATTTTAGCGATATTTATTAAAAATACTGAAACATATCAAATTCAACATGTTGATAGTTTATATATAGGAAAGCTTGTCATACATTTACGTTTTGGATCAGTAGCTGTTTTGCATGCTCACTCAAACGTAATGTATATTCTTCCCCCTCGTTCATTACATTATCACACATGAGTAAGCTTCGCTCACCTATCTTATGACCTACATATCTTAGGCGTATAAATAGAGGGGCGATAAACTTCACACTAGCACACACAGCAGGCGATCACTACGTCTCTCACATACATCACACCCAACACCAACACACATTACATCGCACACACATTTATGTAACAGCCACAAATGTAGATTTACTTCGAAGACGAGCAGTTGGTTAGCAACACTTCAAGTGAACGACACTGTACTTCATATACTCCAAGGTAAGTGCCTCTTACGTTTGCGTTGTAGTTTCAATCTTAGTATGCTTAATAATTAAGTTAGGAATCGTTTAAATACGAATTAACGTACCATGTTTTCTTTTTATTAAATGGTCAGAACCATACTAAAATTTTATCTCCAGATAGGATTTTTTCGCTATTTTATTATAACACTATTCATATAAGTAATTTGGACATATAGCTTATCAATACATTAAACATTTGGGCAATTTCGGTACATATATTATAGCATTAATATTATGAGTAACTTTAGCACATAATCAAACTTCCTTATTTTCAATAAATGGTATTCTATGAGGAAGATTATTTTTAAACTTTATTGATAATATGAGTACCTTTAGCACATAATTAAACTTTCTTATTTTCAATAAATGGTATTCTATAAGGAAGATTAATTTTAAATTTTATTGATTACATGACTAACTTTTGCACATAATATCCTTACGAACAATGAATAGTGGCCTACGAGGAAGATTTTACCTTTGTGTGATATTTTTGTATTTGTATTTCCGATAAAGAACGATAATATAAAATTCTTCATCCAGAAAGTTTAAGGTTAAGGTTTCGTTTATGACTTGAGTAAGGCTTCGCTGTAAGGTTAAGATATACAATGTATGTAAATATCTACCATTGTGTTGTCAGCTGCTTCAGGCATTCGATATATCATCATCTTTCACGGTAACATATAGAACAGGATCTAAGTTATAGGGACCAATCAAGAAAACATTATGCTGCTGGCAGGAATGAAAATTTCAGAAAAGTATTGTCTCCTTCTGCTATACCATGTGAACTTTGAATTTCTTTTTGAAGTACTAAATGTTTGATTTCACCGAAGCGGCTGGGGTTTGATTCCCAGATCGGACGTGAAAAGGTATGGGGTTCCCTACCCGACCACGCGGGTTTTCTCCGGGTACTTTTTCAGAGTTGTTGTAAAATAAATTTATATTTTTAGATTGGTCATGAATAACGATATATTTATCTACAACAAAACAGTTTGCCTGCAGGAAGTTCATTAATCGTCAGTAAGACTTTTTTTTTAAGTTTCGTACACCATTTCATTTAGAATTATTTATTTGATATATAATTTGGTATTCTTTGTCATATATTATTTGTAAACTGATATTCTGTTGCAGATTGAAACAGAACGTGAAGTAGCAGGGATAAAGTTAGGGCTCGGCGATAACATCTGGATGTAAAGATGCAGCACGTCATACCAACTACATCAATGACCAGTGAAGGAGAAACATGTCTCTCTCGCCAGTATGTCATGTTCGGGCCGCCCATTTAGACATCACGACTCATTGGGTCTGGCACAGTATCCTTATCAGGAGACATCTGTAAGCACTGTCTTAAACTACAACAGATCATACTCCCAACGGTACTACTTGTGACTTATGGATTTGTCAGAAACGGGAATGTTTCGCATATCAACTTGCCACCTTAGAAGAAGATAACTCGGTTTGATCTGTCAACATCTTCATCATAATCTACCAACAGCACTGCGCCTGCCAAAAGATGCCATCTTTCCTGCGTTTTTTAATCGGTGGAGACAGCTCTCTTGTTGAACATACGGGTTCGTGTAATCTCACACCAGGAACGGTATAATTTTGGTGAGTATATAAATTAGCATTGACAATGTACAACAGCTACGATAAAGCCCCAGTTAGGTTTACTCTATCTGCATGAAAAGACATGGTCGTTGATTCTGTAAATTATGTAAAGGACTGTTAGTGTTCACAATGTAAATAGTTTTGGTATAATGAAGTGTAACAATTGACTATTCAGTATCACATATCCTCGTCGTGACATTGTGTTTAACTGGTCAATTATGTTTCTAGCCGGCTAACATTCGTAATGTGTATGTTAATTATGTGAGAAAAAAACGATAAATTATCCATGTACGTCATCTTAGTTATACAGCTTTTGTCGGTAGTGTATACATTTTATCCAAACCCAACAGGTGACCGTGTGGCACTTGATTAAATAATGTGGTGCCAAAAGTGCGTTTCAACATAAAACCCAAATAAAAAGGTCACGTACGTGCTTATATAAGAAATAAGCTCAAAAATATGTACTGCTCGAAATTTTCAAGATCACCAAATTACTGAAAAGCACATATTTGCGATTATATTACGGATTTCTCCGTTTTAGCAATGAATCAATGAAGACTACGAAAAAGACATCGACATTGGAAGACACAGCAGATTGGTGGTAGAAAAGATGGCGATGTTGACTGGAGAAATTCGACAAACATCTGACGGGGAACAGAAGAACATGACTGAAATACACAAACCTTTCTCCTTTTAATATCATCATTACTTTTAAATGCACACTACTTTTATCACTGCGCATTCCTCTAAGCTTTTGTATTCTATGGGTTCGTTATGTTTTGCATGAGTAGTAGTAGTAGTAGTGTAGTGTAGTAGTAGTAGTGTAGTGTAGTAGTAGTAGTAGTAGTAGTGTAGTAGTAGTAGTAGTAGTAGTAGTAGTAGTAGTAGT